ACGAGATAACAATCTTTGTTATGTTGAGATAACGAAATAATTAATTTGTTATCTCGAGAAAACAAACTTTGTTATCTCGAGATAATGAATTAATAAGTCGTTAATCCATGGCCGTTCTCGGCTTCTGTACTATTTACCTCATCTCCCTGTTCTTTATTTTGGAACATATACTATTTCCACACATCCTGTCCAACTTTTTTTTTTTTTTTAGGGGGATACAACAAACAGGCCTAGCTTTCAGACATGGTAACAGGCTTAGGATTTTGGAAGGACTCCCTCTTGGTCCCCTGTTCAAGGTAAATGCAAGTCAAGCAATGTGAGAATATTTACTATTATTATGATATTGGATACATTTATCGTGGTGAACTTGGAAAAAATGAGAATGGACAAACCAAACATTGGCTCTAGATTCACATTTTCCGTGCATTTCGTGGCGACTGCAGTTTCTCCTTTGCACTTGGAAGGGGAGGGTGAGGCAACGTGTGATCTGCAACTACATTGCTAGATACCACTGAATCCTACACACTGGTCTTTTAAAATCATGTTGTAATGTAGTGTATATAATTACCTCCTCTGCATACGTTGACTGCTTTATAGGGGAAGTGCCCATTGTTGTGGAGCTTCACAAGCCAGTGTACAATAGATTTACATAGGCCCACTATCTCCACTGCAGACCCATCCCTGGATTACACACAGACACATATACGTGTTGACAAGGAGAAGATTTGTTTAGCGTTCAGTGTCATTTAATTAATTCAGTTGATGGTGAAAGAAGTTTCAACATAAAAAAAATTCTTGAGTACATTTACACTACACAAGTAATTTGGAATATCTGTATAATCTGTATAACAATAAAATATGTCTTTTATATTTCTCTGTTATCAGTAAAGGATCTATACCTCATGACTTCATGTACACTTATCTTACTTTTGTCATATAGTAACTGTTGTAGCTTCTCAGTTTAGTGAGTTTAAGATATTGTTTTCTTAATGTATAGCAGCAGTATCAGTATGATATTACTGGGATTGTCAGTCTGTGCATCCTATCTAGATATATTCATGGCTGCTCAATGTGCATTTGATCTGGGATCAATTTTAGGTTTGATTGATGCCGAAATAGTGCTTCAGTCAACTAAGAATAGTAGTAAAGTCTATGTAGTACAAAATAATAATGATGAATAATAAGGATGCTGAATAAAAAACGATGGAGAAGATAGAGAAAATGTACCTGGGTGTAGCAGGGATTCCTTTGTTCTGTGCCTTTGTACTCTCACCCATCTTGTCCATCCAAGTTCCACAGTTGAAACGATTTCCTCCATAGATGAAGCCAGTGGTCTGGTCGACTCCAGCCTGTACATTAAATCCTGGCGGGAGTGAGATGGGCTGCTGTTAACAGTGTCAGAGTCACCAGCATGTCAGCAAGTCATATTACTTACTAAGGTCCTAGAGACTTCTACTTGCAACATATTTTGTAATACTGTATGTGAAGACACTTCATATTGATTGCATTGGTTGTAGTGAAGCAAAGTCAGTCTCTAAAACTCCTAAAGGATTTGTTCAAAAGCTACCAAAATTGATTGACTGATGTCTAAAAGTGATATGGCAGTAATAATGAATGTCTTTGTATATTATGTACTGTACAAATGGACTAATGTCCAAACTTGACAAATGTTCAAAAAACAGAAAACATTTGTGTGTTAATCACAATTTCTTTCAGGGTTTTATTTGTAAATGAAAAATGTTAGTGAAATTTCCACTGCACTAATTCTGATAGACCTCCACTGTACTTATAATTATGCATTTGAAAAACACCAGCTTTTACTCTAGCCCAGAGTCCTGCATTGGGCCAGTTTGGCAATCCTGCACCTGCAAAGCTCTCTACAGGAATCGACCCATTACTCACAATTAACTCCAAGTCAAATCCAGATCCACTCAAATCCATTAACATACTCCTTAATATGACCTGTGACCTATACCATGCTGTTTGATTGACCCTTCAGCAGGAGATGCTCCCTGAGCCAACAAGTCTGGCGCTTGCCTTCTCTGAATCCTGAGGAGCCACGTCCTGCAGTCATTTTTTAAAGGAACTCACCTGGCAATTTTTTAGAGGGTACCATGGAGTCCCCAAAGGAATGCTGGGTTGCCTGACACCATTGGCTGTCTCAGCTGCCCAGCAACACAGAAACTCAGCTGCCCAGCACCACAAAACCCCAGGCGGGTGCCAATGTACAGCCTGAAACCCAGTCGGCCCTCCCTGCTTGACGTCCTGCTCAACCCAGGCCACCCAGCTGAAGTATGATCAAGGCTGAAGACACAGCACCTTGTGACTGCTATATCAACGGTGCAAATCCAGCTTGGAGACCTTGTTGTGTACAACCTCCTGTTTCTCTCTAATATCTGTTATGTGATCTGTAGGTAATTTATTGCAAAAAATATGAATAAGTATTTAATGGCTTTTGTGAGGATTTACCTCTCTACTGATGCACAATCACAAAGAAGAACAGGAAAAAGTTGGAGCTGACCTGATCTGTGTAAAGCTGAATCTAGCACACATCAGTAAGCAGTATTGTTAATGAGTGCATTAAAATACCCTCTTCAGTCATGTTGGGATCTAACTGTGGTCCAGCGTTGGTCTCTCTGAACTGGATACCCTGCATGTGTCTCTGCATGGCCTCCTGGATCACATCATACAGCGGCTGATCCTGAAGGAAAAACACAACTTTTTTGGAAAAATGGCACAAATCCTCTTCTTTATATGATATGCATGCACCAGTACACAAGAACAGTTTTAGTACTTTACTTGGGTACACCAGTTTGAAGTCCTGCATTAAATATACATTTAGATTTATTAAATATCAAATATCATTTTAGAACCTGTCTGATAAGGATTTGATAATCAGTGGTTTTTGAATGAGAATTAAGAATGAGAATACAGCACACAGTCCTACCCAGGCTCCAGCAGGCTGAGGCTCAGACACGTTGGTGGGGTACATCCTAGAGACGGGACATTTGAGGATGGAGACACCGTCCGGTACTAGTGTGCAGTACTCCTGGATACATTGCAGCCACCACCACACAGCATCCCTGCTGTTGAAGCGTGCACTGCTGCCCCGGCCCAGCAAGTTGGGGATCAGGCCGTAACGTAGTGTGCCCGCAAATGCCAGGATGATGTTCCTGTGGCAGTCAGGACAATGATTTAATAGATGAGCGTTCAAGTGAACCTTTTTGTGTTTAACAGGTAAAACATAAATTAAATGGGCAGCAAGGCAACAGTAAAGATACCAGTACTGGAACACAGTAGTGTTTAAAAAAAAAGTGTCACAGACTTTAAACCTGCTTTTGCCAGATGTTATGATTGTTATTGTTATATGTTATGTTGTTATGATGCAGTTTCCATGCGCTGCTCGGGCAGCCTATGTGAACAGATTGTAAAGTTATTTAATATTTGAATTTAGGTTCAGAGATGGAGATCCTGAACTTTTCCCTACAATATCCATTCAAGACTAGAGAGAGTCTCTTCAGTCAGTCCAAGGAGAAAAATATGACAAACTATTTGAGAGACTCCTTTAAATGAAGTATAATGGCTTTAGTGATAAACATGTCAAAAAACCTGGACTAGTCTACTATAAAGCCATACTTTGGTGAGTGAGTGACTTAAGTGGGCGGCTGTGGTGCAGAGGCAGAGCGGGTCGACCCCTAATAGGAAGGTTGTTGGTTCGATCCCGAGCTCCTCCTGCCACGTGGAAATATCCTTGAGCAAAATACTGAACCAACTAACTAAGTTAACTTTGCCATCACTGTGTGAATGTGTATGAAAGGGTGAATGTGGCAGGTAGTGTAAAAGTGTTTTGAGTGGTCGGAAGACTAGAAAGGTGCTATACAAGTACAGGACCATTTACCATTTAAGTGAGATTGTTGAATTTGTTTGTAAGTGTCTTATTAAATGCAGTTCATTTGACATGAGACTAGGCAATGAGTATAACAGGTAGAGTAACAAATAGGGAGTACCAAGGTATCACTTTAACCCCAACATTGCAGACTACGGATGTGTGACTTTTGTATTTGTATTTTGTATTTGTAGTTTGATGCATTATGTACAGTAGATGACAGTTTCTGAATGATCCCAGTAGACTCTTAAGTAGTTAATATATAATAATTCACTCTAGTCATATAGTAGGTTAACAATCAGAATTAAACAATCTATACATTTTACAACCTATTAAATGTTACATAAACAGGCATTTGATTTATTTGACATTTTAATCAGATTAGTTTGTTTCTGCTCAAAGTGGTGGTGTTCAAAGCCATAAATATCTTGAAGCCTATATTCTCCTGTCCTGAGGAGTTGTGTGGTGGACTCACCGAGCCTCCAGGTGTCTGCCAGTTAGCAACAGTAACCCTCTCAGGGAAATGAATGTGTTGCGACCCAAACACCGTAAAATCCCAGCACAGGAGTGAGGAAGACCTGAAGTATAGCAAACAACTATTATTTCAGGGCAATAGTGGGTCTGGGTATATATATATATTAAAATACCCTATTATAAGCTTCTCTTTATTAACAGACCAAACGCTGAATTGAACTGAATTGAACCATGCTGCCATGTTTGATTTGGCCTTCAAAACTATTAAAAGATAAGACTAGTGTTATTCCGTTATAGGCAACAGAGGCATCACCGCACATGTGCCATTGCTAGTTAACATTGTGGCAACACACAATTAATTAGTTGTGTAAAGTGTAATATATTGAAGTATACTTAAAACTGTTAACATTTAATATACTGTTTAATTTCATTTTAAATTAAAGCTGCAAGCAGCGATGAACGGGCCCTCGCACTCCACGCAACTCGGGGTGTGCTGCGGCCGCGTCACGTGCCGTCGCTAACACGTGCGAGACCACTCAGAAAATCACCCCAAATGAACCAACGCGAACAGTATAACATACGCGCCAACTTTGACGGCATGCACAAGAAACGGCCTTCCAAGCAATACTGCACGAACTAGCACAACTTCTATAATCAGCAACTTACTCTTCCACACTACGCTACTTCCCCCACCAACCCTTTTGAAGCAGTCCGATGCAATCTCTAAGAGACATTTTAAAGCCTGCAAGCACGTTGGGGGACCTCGCCACTCCCGCACCTCGTTGGCGTGCTGCGGCCCACGTCGACCTGCCGTCGTAACATGCGACCACAAACATGAAAATTGCACTTAAATCAGATCAACATTACCACCAGTGCTTACCTCCTGTTGGCGGTAGCCTGGCTCTCCACTATATCTGAAATTGTCATGTAGCGTGTCTTCAGGGCGGGACCCCATCAACACGTGCGAAGTTTCATAAATCTGGACCATGTACACTGAACGTTATGAGGAAGTACAGGTGGACTGTTACAGAAAACTTCAAGCTTTATGGGATATTTGTACATGTGGAAGCTATAGTTACTACTATTTCATTCAAATGTTCAAAGGGTACAAGTCACAAATACGCACAACTTTTAATCAGCGACATTTTTTACTGTACTGCCAATTTTATGCTTGGTCCGATAAGCGCTTGCTGGAGGAGTTTGTTCAAATACAAGCGGAAATTCAAAATGGCCACAGTTTTCAGGGGAAAAGCCAGGGCACACGCCCTCTTTAACGGACAGTGAACAATAGCACAACCTCTGTAATCAGCCCAATGTTTTTTAACTGTACTCGACCCAAATTCTTGGAAGCAGATCCGTCAAATATCTCTAGAGCGAGTTCTCACGATACAATGCAAAAAACGCTGCAAAATATTCCCACTGCAAAATGCCGGAAATTGCATACCAGTTTGCACATTCGAATTCACCTGACGCCCGAACCCTTTGACCGCGATTGCCACAGCCACGCCTCTCCAGATGTACATCCACCAATAGAAATTTTTCTACATACCCCACCCAACTTATCCTCCTGCGCCCGACTCTCCCGTGGGGTTTGCTGGCTCTCGCGGTCCAAAGAAATGCCCTTTTTTACGTCTCGGGTGCATACACGGTGCCGTCCGCGAGTCTTCATACATACTCCGGTCGAACATTGTCGGCCGCGCGCGGCGTGCTTTTTTAAAATCCTGTAGGGGATGCATTAAAAATTGTGTATCGTGAGCTACTGGCACCCCATCCACCACTGCCCGCTGAATTTCATACTTCAACTACCACTGACTACAGGTACTCCAGCACAGCTGAGCTTTACCAACTGCCACCAGAGCCGCCACCATAAGTGCGCAATCAGTGACTCATTTATAGCGCGGTTCCAGGACGTCCACTGAGCAAACTCATGCGTACCTAATTCATTTTTAATCCAAAGTGCCAGATGCGGAAGCAATATAAACTCTCTTCAATTTTAAAAGACGCGCACCCCCGTTGTGGCGATCGGCTCCTGGAAATTCGCTGCCACAACCCTACAGCAAAGACACGGGGACGATTTAAGGAACCCATATTGGTGCTCCAATTGGGAACTTACCAATGGGGAGGAATATGGTCCAATTCCTTTCTTTGACAAAAAACTGACCCAGCCAAGACCATAACCTCGTTTATGGAGTACATGCTTACTTTCTTTGATATACCAATAATCTTCGAGATGCATTGCTTTGCGCAGGACGCGTCCCCCAGCAATTACGTGAAAAAGTTTGTGGGAAACTTAGTTAACCCCCAAACGACGACACTAGAACCAATAAAAATTTCCCCAAGCTCGACATGTGTGCGCGTTTCATCGATTATTCGACCACACCCCGCGGCAAACGCCTCCATAAATCAATTACAAAGTTATGCTAAAGAAAATACAAAAAGAAACCCATCAACTTACAAAGGGCTCTTCGCCAAACAGAAAGCTTCAGTGCTCGGGCCCTAGAAACATCACAGAATAATGACCAAAAAAGTCAAAATGGTTGTTTTGGTGCACACCACGAACCAACCATCTTAAGTACATAACAATACAAAGCAAAACCTTAATAAAGCCAACATTTTTTAATCTCTGACAACCCACAATTGAAGTAGATCATGAATTCCTAGGCGGTAGTTCGTTCAACATACAATGCAAAACAAAGGCAAAAATGGGCTGCGGAATTCAACGTGGCGATTTCACGAACACACGGACTCACCGTTCAACGTACAGTCACAAATAGCACAACTTTCTATCAAGCAACGTTTTTGACTGTATGACAATTGCTTGAAGCAGAATCCGATGAATCTACTACCTTCGTTCATACAGGCAAAGTCTCGCCGAAAAGTCGAAAATGAAAATCAAAATGAGGTAGGGTTACAGGTACGAGCGCTGGTAAATGTATGTAATGGACTGTACTTGTATACGCCTTTCCAAGTCTTCCGACACCTCAAAGCCACTTTTAACCACGCTGCACACTTCCCCTTTCACACACATTACTAGTGTGGGAAAGTCCATCGAACAGAAACTAACTATTCATACACAGTTCACACACCGTATGCCTACATGCATCAGGACAATTTGGTCAGTCATCTTGCTCACAGATCCTTCGACACGTGGCAGGATGGAGCGGGATCGCACAACAACGATTGGGGACACCCGCTCTGCTCCTGAGCACACAGCGCTTCGTCATTCCTAATGAGATTGCTCAGTTCTTCTTACTATATCTATTTTTAATTTATTTTTTTGCGCGCTGAACATAATACGAAACCCTAAATTATTTCTTTGGCAACCCACGCGCTGGTTAGGCCTCGTAAAATTGCGATATCTTATGTGCTTCCAGCTTATCCTCAGGTCGGCACTAGTCTGCGCTACCCATCATCGAAGCTCTCGTTTACCCCTACAACTCCCACATGTTTGTCACATTTCAACAAATTATACTCCCCGCGTCTCCATGGCTGATTACCACAGGCCACACCACTTCACAAACAACTCTCTCTTTCTACACTCCAACACACTCATACACACATTCTCTACATTGCGGGTTTCTACTGAGCACGAACTACCCCTTATGTAGCATACTGGGGACCGTCCTGGTAAACTCATTTGACCCAGAACTCTTCTGATATTTCACCAACAAACTACAGCAGCCACCGGCAACGCTTCACCAGCTATCTACTGAAATCGGTAGCATCTCTAACCGCGCGAGACACTACACACAAAACCTCTTGACCATATCCAAACTCCACACGAATCGGTCATTTTATTTCTACACTTTCTCACTTCCTGCACAACTATTCGCCGTTCGTTTTGAACCCAGCTCGCTCCTGAGGGAACTTTATCGGTCACTCTAACTTCAAACCTCGGTTCATGCAGTAAAAAAACATTGGCTGATTAAAAGTGATCGCTAGCGTGCCGTCAAAGCTGGCCACGTGATCAAACTTCAAACTGTGATCATTTCCGGCATTTGTCTGATTTTCAGTGTTTCGGATTTGCGTTGTACTTTGAACACAAACTCCTAGAAGAATATATCGCGAACCTCCTCAAATTCTCCCGTACCAGTCGCAACATCATGTTCTTATCTACACAGTTTGCTATCTTTCACTGTACGTTGAGGAAGGTCTGCATGCGCCATGATATCTTCCACGTTTTGCACTGAAGACACTTGCTATAGAAGATCAAGTCTTTTGCACAGTGTTCTGATAGCGCTGACCATGTACCCGAGCTGTCCTCCATCTCTAAGCTCCCGGCGACTGACGCGGATTTCGGGCGCTGGGGCGACTGTGGCTGTGCGCGAGCCCTCGAGGCACTGGGTGTAGCCCGACGTGGGACCAGTGGCGGGTCCACCCAAAAAAAAAAAAAATAAAAAAACATTTTATTTTACTTTAATTTAGAAAATAAAT